ACGGTTTCCCACTGTAATTCCTCTTGTTTTTATATTGCTTACGAGGACAGTTCCTGTCATATACTTTCTTAAATATATTTAAAAATTGCTCATATGCTTTATCTAAGTCTTCCTCTCTGTAAACTAATTCCCAGTTTTGCCCCATAAAATCCTCTTTTAGCCTCCTTACAGCATGTTCATTCATCACCCTCCTATAGAAAAGATTTGTTTTTGGCCTCTCTTTTCTATACTGGCCCTCATAAACCACAAATACTGGTAGATGATCACTTATATCATTTATAAGTAATCCACTTGTCATTTTGCTGTCAATAACATTGGTAAATATATTATCTACAGTATTAGTGTTGCATGCTGGGTTGTTACTCTACTTGGTTTTGTAATTTTTGGGTATAAACTGCATCTATATATTGTGTTAATAAACTCCTCAGTTCCTGTGTGCTTGTTAGGATTTAACAAATCTATATTGAAGTCACCACATATGAACATTAATTTATGACTTATTGTCAAGTAATTTTCTTCCATCCAGTCATTAAATTTTTCTATGCTGGCTCCAGGTGCTCTATAAATACAGCTTATTACAACATTTTTCTTTTTTTCCATGAGTATTTTTACAGTCACACACTCCAGCAAATTATCCACCACCCTTGACATTTTCTCCACTTTCTTATAACAAAAGTTTTTATCTATGTACACCAGTACAACCTAAATAGTTCTCAAGACAGCTACATTAGAAGTATATAGGAGTTTTATTTATATGTTGATTCATATATGACCCCAGCCCACTGGAGTCACATGTGCTCTTAATAAAACCTGAAGTTCTTACAGAAACACATCCGTTACAAGCTTGAACCAAGTTTGTAACTTGGCACAGGCTGGTAATGAGAGAGGGAGTCGACACACACACAAAAGTCTTGCACAGAGTTTTAGTCCTTGACAGAAAGTATGGTGCATGCACCAAATGTCTGTGCAGTAATGGAAGTTCTGGCAGAGACAAACCTGCGATTCTCACATGATCCACACCAATTGTTGCATGACTTATTACCGAAACTAACATAGATGGTAAGCGGCAACTTGCACTGTTTATATGGTGCTATCATTGGTTATGTTTGCACGATATCAGAGTATGTTGAGGTCAAGTCGAACAGAAAACTAACCATCATGCATTTTGCGACAATCACGGGTGATCGATTTTGCGCAGACCTGGCTCATCTCAAACAAGCCTATAGTAATACACTTGCCAGCTGAGTTCATACTGCATTGATAATGTGAGAGGTTGTTGTTAGATATTTGCAAATTTGGGTGTAACTGTGGACAAGATGAGTGAACTTGCAGGTGGTCAGCAATGTAATACTGATGGGTACACATTATCATTATCAGCACCTTTATGCAAACTACAAATAGCTTGTTAGCTTCATTGCATTGGCAGTAACTGGTGATTATTAGTGTAAACATTAAGCTAGTTAACTAGCCACTGAATGCTTGTAGCTCGTGTTAGAGCAGAGGTGTGTGAATTGCGAGCCATGCCTCGACAGGTGGGCGTGAGAGAGCTGAAGGGGGAGTGCAGAAGGAGAGATCTGAAGCAAATGTGCCGTGGGAGGTGGAAGCAGATTTGTCTGATGGGGGCCCGTGGTGTCAGACTTTGTGTTAGAGCAAACAAACATTGATGAATCATTCACTACACTTTTGTTATTGTGTTACTGGTTCTGGAGACACAACAAAGGATACCACTGCAAATATGTTAATGCAAATTGTTGCCCTTCAGTTAACTCAGAAAAAATACAGTACTGCTGGAAAAAATTTTGGAATAATTTAAGCCATATCTTAAATTTACACTGTTTTCACAAATGACTGTGTCTTTCCCTCTCTCCAGTCTCAGGTCATCTTCTTGCCCTGTGGTCATGTGTGCTGTTGTCAGGTCTGCAGCAACGCTATGCAGAACTGTCCTCTGTGTCGCAGCAACATAGCCCAGCGCGTACACCTCTATCACAGCTAGAACCAACTGTACAGCTGTCCTGCACTGGCTGCCACAATTATTCCTGCATAGTCGTAAAGCTGCTGTGAGCTAATCTCGTCATATATAGAGAAGCTTTTAACTGGTTTTCAGTGAGCTGAGCCACTTTCTTGTATTAACCAAATAGTAATCTGTGATGTACAGTATATTGAGCAACGGTCATCACTGGCATCCAAGCCTGTTGTATTTTTTTGCTCTTTTTTAATTCAGCAATTTGTATTGTATTGTATATTAGTAGAAAAGTTTAGATTACACATAGGCTGAAGACCGACTCTTTTTTGCCTTAGTATATGTTTTCAATTGATGTGTGAATTTTCTCTTTTGTTAAGCAGCACTACTTGTTTCGGTGGTCAACCAAAGTAACACCAGAGGCCTGTATCACAAATTGAGTTAAACTTAGTCTTGGGCTTCTCTGGCTTCACTGAGCCTTACAGTCCTGGATAACAGCTCAGAGTTAGCTGGACAAGCCACTAATCTCACTTTGTGGTATAGGAATACAGAATTGTTCTTTCTTTTGTTGTCATTGCTGGTTGTCTTTGCATCACTAATGCAAACTCATGCTGTTGCTCTTTGACAACGTGTCTTGTCCTCCATTCCAAAGGCTTCTTACCTTTCCATTCAAGTCCCTCTGTGTATGATGGAATTATTTATCTAGTGTTAGTTGGTGGGATATATAAAGGCATATCTTGACAGCTTGAGCAAAACAAACAAACAAACAAACAGATGTCTCAAGATATCTGTCCTCTATTGCTCTATTCTTGACATGCACCTCACCGTGGATGGCTCAGCCTGCCAAAGGCTTTGGCTCATAAATGAGCTGCTGGGGCCCTAGTAACACCCACAGTTACTCCCACTCCCTACTGCATATTACATTAAAATAATTCTAATGCAATATTATACTGTATTACATGGCCCCAGATTTATTGTGTGGTAATCTGAAACAAAAAATTTTATTGATATGCATCATGTGTGATAAGTATCAGCTCATGGTGCCGAGAGTTCGGACCGAAAAAGGGAAACGGGCTTTTGGATTTGCCGCTCCCTCTTCGTGGAATAGTTTCCAAGCAGATTTTAAACTTACTAAATTATGCTCAGTTAAAGCTTTTTATTCTCTTATGGCTCTTAGGCAACAGGACTCTATTGGTCAGTGTAGGTGTTTTTAAATTGGTTGTATTGTTGATTATTGTATTTATGGTTTTGATTGTTTAAATGTTTAATGTTTTTGATTTGTATTGAAACTTATGTATTGTCGACATGTGATGTTGACCTCTTGGCCAGGTCACCCTTGTAAAAGAGATGTGATCTCAATGGGTTTTTTACCTGGTTAAATAAAGAGAAGTAATGTGTGCACGATGTCAGCTGAAATAATGATGATCCTGAAAATATTATATGAACATTTTCATTTTTTTAAAAACCATTCTGTCCTGAAAATATTATATGAACATTTTCAGTTTTTTTTAAAACCATTGTTCTTATTTTGCATATCTTTTGTTTTATTATTTTTAAGCCATACACCGATTATGACAGACATTGTAGTTGTGCCTAACTACTACACACTACTGTACTGTCTACTGTACAGCACATATTTCAGTGAGGAACAGCAACTAGTAGCCATAATGCCAAACAGGGCTCTGCACACAGATTAGCCCCAAAGGTAGAGAGAAATGACCTGTGTGCCCCAAAACATCAACAGCGTTTATGAGAAGTTAAGAGCACGGTGACACTCACACTGGTTATTGTAACATTAGCATGTATGAAAATCCTGCTCTTTCTTCAGTATGGATATAATATAGACTGGATATACACAGTATGTCAAATGTGTTACACTCATACAAAAATTCATATTAGAGACGAACATAACAGGCAGAGCTTCACTCCTTACAAACTGTCAACTTAAACAGACTTATTGCTTATTTTTTCCCCTCTGTAAAATTATAAGCGTAACAATGTCATGCATTTTCCATCTAAAGTAATCTGTCTGCTCCTCTACCAGCTGTTACTGGTTCCCAAATGGAGATGCTAAGTGCATGTCAAACAGCCTGAGCAATATTCATTAAGCCTACAATACACACTAACAGTGTGAGCTCATCTTTAAATGGCTGTTAATGATGCAGTTTAAGTGTAATTCCATCCACCACCTCTATAAAAAGCAAAGTTCTGACAGGTCACTGCAGTTAATAAGGTTTGTTTTGGAATATTGAGCATTTCCACTCATTACTTTGCAGATTCATTCAGGTTTAAGCACAAACTCAACAAGCAATTTATCATCTCAATCGCTTCTCTCAGTCATTTTAGGTTATTTTCTGCCCGCTGCCTTTACATGCATCTTGCTGGTGATGTTGCTCGTGTGTAAAACGGTTTCTAAGGGACTCTTGGTGGTGTGGCACACCCAGGCAATTGCTTGCTACCTGGATGGTAGTCTAGTTTTTAATCTCACTTCAGTATGTTATCCACTGGTCTCGTAATCCCGCTGTTGTTTAAATTGATATATATGATGCATATATATGCACTAACATCACCTTTTCTTATCAGTTACCATAATCCTGTTCTACTCTTTCAAGTGCACTTAAAGTTGACATCTCAGCATGTTTTAGGTATTTCTGTATATAAATGTATTAAATGTAGTGTGTAAGAGACTTCACTTCTATGTACAGTATATTTGCATATATAAAATGTCAACAGTCAGTGTAATAGAAAATATTTGTGTCATTTCATATACTCACCTTCGGATGAATGTAAAGGTTTTATGTTGCTGTAAAGATGGACTGCTCCTACATGGGCAGCAACATCTGCAATCTGGATGTACTGAATTAATAGTTTCAGAATTAAACGTGGAAACTGAATGGTGTTATTGAGTCTCAATGCAAACATACAAACATCTGGTCCAGCTGGAAGATAAATTAAAGTCTATGGCAGAAACTCCGGTGGTATCTACCCACACAGATAGCTGTGGTTATATTTATCCAGGTTTTTAGACGTCTGCTTTCACCCCAATACGAAATTAGAAGCAGTCACATGTTGGTGACATATAGTGTACTTTTCAGTGAAACAGGATGCATCTTGTGTCTAACAGTTAAATGTTCTAAATATACAATAGCTGCATATTTAGAGATTCTGGATTTTTCAGTGATGGAGAAGTAAATGTCATTAATTTTTTTTTTAGATTTTAGAAATATTCACTTTATGTCTTTTGTAATATTTAATTTTGTTTTGTTTTTCTAGTAGAAAAAGGCATTTAAAAATCTGTGATTAACTTAAAGGTAAAACAGTGGCAGCATTTGGTTAGTTTACAGCACTGAGTTTGCTGTGTTCACAAAAAACGCATGAATTAGACATGTTCTTAGTGGTCGGGTCTGTGTGCACTTAAGATTAGAAACCAAGTAACTGGTTTGGCTCAATGGACCAAAAGGAGAGCTACTGTATATTCTAAAACGGGGTAGAAAATAAATGCCTTATCAGACACAGAGAGGGCCTAGTATTAGTGCAACTTTATAGATTTGGAAAACTCAAATTCCCGACCTTCTTTGCGCGGCCTTGAATACAGCGTCATGCACGAGCCAATCACAACGCGAAACATACTTGCCGTAAAGTGTGGCGTTGGTGTTTCGAATGGGGATGTACTTGGTTCATTTGAAAGAAGTATTTGTCCATTTAGCTTAATTGTGCTATAAAGCGATTACTGATACAGGCAGTGACGGTAGGTATCCCGTTTTCTTTGTCTTTTGTGATATAGTTTATGTGATTTGTAGAAGAAAAAACTCAACTGCTCAGCTAATTAAGTTAGTCTGCCAATGGCAAGCAGGGTCAAATACAGAGAGTGACTAAGCTAGAGCAACTAAAGTGGTGAATTAGCTAAGGTAGGAAGCTGTCTTAGTTTAAATAATGCCATCGTAATGTCTACTCTACTAGCATTTTAAAGTTTGTTAGTGTTGTATCGAAGCTTGTTCCCCCTTATGTCTCAATAACAATCCTTCCTGACAGAACCGGTGTTCTGTTAAATTTTGCTACCTATCAAGACGTGCTACCCACCGTTCACAAAGTGGTTAGCGTTAGGGTGAGGGATCGGGTGGGGTTAGTTAGTCAGTCCATAGATTTTGCTACTTTAGGTAGTATATCTCGACAAGGCAGCAACATTTGACAGGACAACGGAGTCCAGCACCGAGGGAGGTGCTACCTGCAGTACAGGAAACACAATAGCTGCGCTCCATTTGGCCGTGCCGGACCGGCAGGCCGTTTGTTTTGTACTTATGACCAACCGGCGTAAGACAGAGATGTCACATTAAAATAATAACGTAGTATGCTTTAACTGAGCATGATTAGTCTTCCTCTGGTTCACTACACAAACACTCCATCACATGATGAAGTAGGCGCATTTAGAGAAAACACGCTGTTATAGTTAGATACAAATATTAACCTTGGACGGACTGAAAATAATTTCCATAGAGATCATGTGATCAGCCGGACCTCACACTGTTACTACTATAAAGCATCACTGGATTAGAGAGCTCTTGTTAGTAGTATTTAGTTTGTATTTCTTTGAGTTGTTTGAAGCAACTCACTATTCTACACCACACTACACTGTATATTTCCATTCTGTGAATTATATAAAATAGATTAATTATTCATTTGTCTGCACTGAGTTTTTTTTCCATTTATGGTATTTTTTTATAGTTCCAAATTCATGCTCTTCTAAAATAATAGAGCATTTTGTGATTTTATTTCTTTCAGTCATAATGTCACCGCCCACTCTGCTTGTTCTGTATGGGAGCCAGACTGGGACTGCTCAGGACACGGCCCAGAGGATTGTGCGGCAGGCGCAGAGAAGGCGACTGAGAGTTCAAGTGTTGCCTCTGGATAACTATAATGTGGTGAGTATGGTGTTATTAAATATAGCAAGGAGAGAGGGCTATTATGGTTCTCAGCAGATCCAGTGATTGAACCTTATTATTTGCAATGATCAGTGTCAGCTTTTACTGAGATATTCTGTAAAGCTGACATAATTCGCTTAAAACACTGTGCCCTCATGCGTGTCTCCTTTCATCAAACAGGCCAACTTGATCTCAGAGTCTTTGGTTGTTTTTGTGTGCGCAACCACTGGTCAAGGAGACCCTCCAGACAATATGAAGGTAAAAGAACAAATAACACACTTGCAACATACAGATGACAAAATGACACATGTAAGAGGAAGAATAGTTTAAATTAGCTTGTGGAGGATCTTCCCCTTTAATAGTTTATATAACTGGTGTGGAACCCCTGACAAAGTTGTGTACTGTTTTCTTAAGTAAGTGATATGTTATAGCGAGGGGTGTAATGTTACCAGAAATTTGGTAGTCAGTACCAATATTATTGCAGTTCAATGATTTTCGATTCTGTCAGTCTATCTGATAGATCAACACGAGAAATGTCTATCGATTGATATTTTGAATTTATGTAGTTTCATATCAAATCAAGGCTGATCAGCTCATATACAGCAGAAACCCATCAGTGACTGCTTTACATGAGAATTGTAGCCCATATAAATTTTCACACAAAACATTTGAGCCTATGGAGATTAACACAGATCAGCATTTTGTCACTCTCCCTGTCATAAAGGTTAGAAGAATGTCATTAAAACAACAATTTGACCTGAGAACAAGCTGAAAAGTTATGTTTTGATGACATTTTATTGCATTGGGATCAGATCTAAAGGGATGCGTTTCTCTGACTTCCTGTACAAAATACAGATCAATACATAGTAATAAAAAAAAAAAAACCTCGTACATTAGTATATGTCTGCGTTTTCACATTTTTTTTTGTCCATGTCTTACTTTTTTCAAAGAACTTCTGGAGGTTTCTCTTCAAGAAGTCTTTACCTGCTGGATCTCTGAGTCGACTGGACTGTGGTGTACTGGGCCTGGGGGACTCCTCCTATCCAAAGTTAGTACTTTTTGCATTTATAGTACATATTCACAATGAGTCATGGTTTTCAAAGTATCAACTACTTTTACCCACAGGTTCAATTTTGTGGCCAAGAAGCTTCATAAGCGCCTCCTGAACCTCGGTGCCAATGTCCTGTTGCCTGTTGGGCTGGCAGACGACCAACATGACCTAGGGTAACAAATAATACACAGTGGCTTCAAAAAGTATTCAGACTCCACTTTGTGCACAACACTTTGGGTTGTAGAAATAGTTTTAATTGGATAATATTGCTATTTTTGCCCCATCAATCTACATTCAGTGACGGATAATGACAAAGTAAAAACATGTTTGTAGAAAATGTTTTAAATCAAGAACTAAAACCTTTAATTTACCGATGTATTCAGACCCCTTAATTCAGTCTTTTAAAATTTTTAAATAAATAAAACTCTTGTTCATTAGATACTTTTTGCAGTTGCTGTTACACTGCTACCAGCGAAGCATAACACTTCCTGCACATTTCTCTTTAAAAGACAACCAAGGAAAGGGAGTTTTTATGTACTTAAACTGCTGGAAGGCTTTTAATGTGAAGCACCTTTGCAGGAAGTGTTTGGTTTTACCGGTTGTAGCTAAACAGCAATTACACAAAATGTGGAGGACACTGAAGAAAATCTGTGAATTAAAACAGTATCTGAAAGTGCAGCAGACCGGTGAGTAAGACTCGTGTTGTACTGAGGAAATGTTCATGACTGAATATAGCTATTTATTAGCACAGTAGAGAGAGAAATAACAGGGAGAGACACATCGGGAATCAAACCTTTGACGTTGCTGTTGTGTTTGTTCACTTCAAAATGTCTTTGACCCAGGCCAGATGCTGTGATTGACCCGTGGCTCACATCATTTTGGGAAAAAGTGTTTGCTCTGTACCCATCCTTGACCGATGTGATCCCACTGAGGGAAGATGAACCGTGAGTTTCCACTTGATTCAAAACGCAGTATCTCATTTTGTGGTTATTTAGATTGAGACTTTGTGTGATCTTTAGAAGCCTTTTTTTGCTGATGTCTTGTGGCAGACTCCCTCCAACATATACTTTCCACTTCCTGGATGATGTGAACAAGCAGACAGATGAGCGGCTGAGGATTCTCACAGAGCAAACTGTGCACTCCCAGTCTCACCCTTTTCCTGCCAGACTGCTGTCCAACAAGAGAGTAACAGAGCTGTCGCACTTTCAGGATGTGAGGCACATAGAGTTTGACATCAGTGGGTCCAACATTGAGTAAGTAACCTCTCTGTGAAATATTGTCTGATTTTTAAAAAAAGATGCCCAGTCTTCAGTCAGCTTTAAAAAAAAATAAATAAACATTTTGTAACATCAGTACAAAACTGAACATAGGAACTGGGACAGACACTTAGTTTTCCCATAAACTCAGTGTGGATAGAAATGAAAAATATTTTGCTTTCTCCAGTTTTTCTCTTTTCCACCTTTCAGTCTATAGATGCAGAAAACGAACTTTGTTTTGTGCAGGTTTGCTGCCGGGGACGTGGTGAGTATGTGTCCTTGTAACGCTCCAGAAGATGTACAGCAATTCTGTCAGATGCTGGGATTAGATCCAGAAGCCAGGTTCATTCTCAGGGCCACTGACAAGTCTGCAGGTAGGTGTTTTTATCAATGATGTTTTAGTTTGTAGTAAAGACATCTATTAGGGATTGGATTGGCTTGAGATGTACAATAACAATATACAAATTCCAGTCACAGTACTGATTATCTTAATAGCCATCTGTTACCTGCTTTTGACTTTTTTTAACCTTTATTTTGTGGAGCAGTGTTCAGTAGAAAAGAAAAAACAATCCATCCATCATCGGTCATTTATCCAGGGTCATGTCACGAGGGCAGCAGGTTTAATAGGGCAGTTCAGATGTCTCTCTCTCCCCAGCAATGTTTCCCCATCTCCTCTTGAGTGACACAGAGACCTTTGCAGGCTAGGTGAGATGTATAATCCCTCCAGTGTATTCTGGGTCTACCCAGGGGCCTCATACTAGTTGGATGCTCCCAGAAAACCTCCAGTGGAAGGTGCTCAGGAGGCACTAATTAGATGCCTAAACCACCTCAACTGGCTTTTCTTAATGCAGACTTGCTGAAGTCCCCGTTTTAAGTCCTAATCCATGAGCGTGTGTTCACACACCATGCGTATAACACTATATTTGAAACATGATGCTGCTAAGGATCGACAGCTCCCACAAGCACTCGCACCCTCACATGTGATTTAGCACTACCTCTTGAGGGGGGCTGAAATTTAGCTTGGGGACCTGTAGCCTCCAAAGTAGGCTGACAGCAGTGGAAATGAGCACAGAACCCCTGAAGAGAGGGGAATGTCAGAGCTGGGTGATTATCCTCTGTAGGTGCATCACTACGAGCACCTCCTTCACATTACACATGGCCAGTTGATTCTAACAAAAATAATGACCAGCAGTTGCCTTAAAATGATCCTTGGTGCATGAATCTGTCCACTCAGTTCCAGCCAGACTTCCTCAGCCTTGCACTGTGCACCACCTGGTGGAGAGCTACCTGGATATTGCCGCTGTACCTCGCCGTTCTTTCTTTGAACTGCTGTCTACCTTTGCGACCAATGAACTAGAGCGGGGTAAGCTACTCGAGTTTAGTTCAGCATCAGGCCAGAGTGAACTACACAGCTACTGCAACTTGCCCCGACGCACTGCACTGGAGGTGAGCGCCAGTAAAGGACAGATTTGTTAAATATCTAAAACTGTCTTTTGATCTGCTTACTGAAGATATGTGTTCTTGTCACTGCAGGTCTTGGCAGATTTCCCCCACACTACATCGGAACTCAAAGCGGACTATCTCCTGGATCTTTTCCCTGAGATCCAGCCTCGCTTCTTCTCTATCGCCTCCTCTCTCAAGGTAGCTCATGCCTCACAACAGCAATTTAGTGGCCATAAAATATGTTGAAGCTCATCTGGATGCATCAAACCTAGAGCTGTAAATTCAGAGCCATAAAGACAGACAAGAGAAATCCGAGTGGAATCTTGCAGCTGTATCCTATCGAAGTGTTCTCTCCACACAGGCTCACCCACACAGGCTTCAAATCCTGGTAGCTGTTGTCTGCTACAAAACCAAATTGAGTAAACCACGAAGAGGCCTCTGCTCCACCTGGTTAGCCTCCCTGGACCCTGCACAAGGTCTTGCACCACACATTATTTCACTCAAATTAAATGTGGTGGTTGGCTGATGGTGGTATGCTAATATATATATACATACATACATGTAGTAGTACATTGTGCTTCTTCAGTCTGTTAATAGCATACAGCTTCTGCAAGTTGTTGGGGGGGGGGAATGTCTACTTTAAGGGTTTATTGGCCCAAAAATGAAAAACTTTAATACTAATAAATCCTTAAATGAGCCACTTTTTCC